CGGAGACCAATGGGCAGCCAGTGCAGCTCGCGGTGGATAGGTGTAATTTTGGATTACCTAGGGGCACCCACAATAGCTCGCGCGGCTGCGTTCTGGACTAACTGAAGTCTTCGGACACTCTTCAAGGGCAGCCCCATGTAGAGCGCGTTACAGTAATATAGGAAGTGATTTTGGAGGGGTTAAGAACCGTATGCATATTATGTATTAAAACTTCCCTCCAAATGGATCCTGGTCTTACCATTTTAGATGGTTTCTTTCAGCCTGTAAAAAAAATAATCTATATTATAGCCCCTGTGACAATAAAAAACATATTCTAAACCTTGGCAGCATCTGGCCAGATGGGCAGACTTTGTTCCAAGACTTAAAAATTCTGCCAACTTTGAAGATTGAGCCAACGGCACTGCTCCTTACTCTGCCAAGATACACATCATGTGACTTCAGCTTTATGCTTTATGATGAGAATCCTGGTTCGTGGTTTTAGCTCTAGTATACATACATTTTTTAACAGATGCTGCTTGTGTGTATCAGCAACTGGAGTTCTCAACCAAAAAAAACTAAGGTTAGCTTCAAAATAAAGAGCATCCGATATTACTGGTGATGATGGACCACTAAGTTTCTTTCAGATTATTGATCTTTTTATGAAGGAATCAAATACCTGACAGATTTCTGTATTCCGCAGAATGTAACTTGAAAAACACAAGAGAACTTGACATATATAAACTCTGACATTATAAAAACCATTGCTTTGATTTATTGGTTCTTTCCATATTACTTTTCACATTTATATCGCTACCTCATGGACTGAATTAAAGTCCCTTATGGAAATACTGAATTAAATAACCATCTTCTGAAAGCTTTCTGAATAAAAAACCCAGCAACCACATTTTTCTTTCACAGCTATATTCTAGCCAAGGTCTTATCTCATCTGGGGGACATATAATACTGCCCCCACCTTTGTTGTGGTTCTTTTTTTCACTTTCTTTTAAAGGTGCTCGATTCCTTTAAATAGATTGTCAAAAGCTGAATGTTACTTTTATTATTGTCCCTTGTGCTGGTAACATCAATCAACGCTATCATATAAGTTACCCCTTTGTAAAATCAGATTCCAGTATTACTTTATTAACCATGGCAGATATGAAACCTTGCATAAATGGAATTGATTTACCACAAAGGCATTAAAAAGCTTGCATACAATGCTTCTTCTTCTTCTTGTTGTTGTTTTTTGGTATGTTTTTCTTGATGAGTTGTGAAATAATAGACATATTCATTGGGAGACTACACTTGAACAATTTTCTTTTTCTCACCTGCAATATTTTGAGATTATTTCAATCTCTTCATCTGTTTGGTCATGTTTTTATTTCGTCATTTCCATCATGACAAAAATTGGTGAGGCAATAGAAAAGCGTGACCCGACAAATGCGTGCCCAACAGCGCGCCGACAAAACCGCGGCAATAAAACTGCGACATCGACAGCGCGCCCACAAAGGCGCGCCGACAAAAGAGCGCCGACAGAAGCGTGATTATAGTTAAGGTAAGGGTTAGGGTAAGGGTAAGGGTTAGGGTTAGGGTTAGGGTTAGGGTTAGTGTTAGGATTAGGGTAAGGGTTAGGGTTAGGGTTAGGGTTAGGGTTAGTGTAAGGGTTAGGGTTAGGTTTAGGGTTAGGGTTAGGGTAAGGGTTAGGGTTAGGTTTAGGGTTAGGGTTAGGGTA